TGAGCGTTGTCAGCTGGTGTCACTGTACATGTAATATACTTTCATTAAGGGCGACGGTAAGGTTTGACAAAACCGATTTCATTTCGTTTAAGGTACATATCCCGGATATCATTAAACCTGTAACAGATGATTGCGTGAGAACTACATTCAACAGTTTGCCTGAAATCTCTCCCAGTCACCATATTATTATCGCGTTGATTTGGCCCCCACAAATACAAACCGTTTGCCAAAATGTTAACTTAAAGCAATTCTGTTTTATCGTGTGATCCGTTGGGACATGAATGTCGTAAGCTCAAACAATTTCTCAGTGAACCGTAGAACATTAACTGAAGTCCTTAAAACGGATCACAACAAAATGATTTCCACGACAACTGCATTCATGGGACTTATATGCGAGCATGCGTGCTAAGGATAATGCATGTCGATTGTGTGCAAACTTAGTGGATATTTGACAAGTAGTGGAACGATGGTGTTGAAGAGAGAATGGTTTGTGCATTCAAGGCAGTTGTGGCAAACGACCCTATGCAATTTGTGCACTTTTTACCAGAAATGCGGTGAAGATCAGGAATGCGACCACCAATGCACGGACTGCCACCACGCTGTGGTATGCTTTGCCGGATTTCCTTGCCTTCGTTGATTTGCGACTTATCGATAACGCATGCAGATAAGAGGCTTTGGCTGCGAACGACCAGTCTGTGTGTTGCACGTGATCCATGCATCCAGCTGAGCCACCACGTGTGAACCAATCCGTCCGGGTCGTAACCCCACGATTGTGCTGGCGGCGGCTTCACAGAGGATTAGCAGAGGAGCCTGCACACGCTACTGTTTATGCCATTGATTTCGGTTGTGTGGGTGTTTTGGACCACTGTCACACTCAAAGCCACATCCTAGTCTGGCTACTCGTCAAACACGCTCAAATTGTGTTCTTTGTAAGGGCGTGAGATTGAGTGGGATTTGAAGACAAACGTGTTGGCAGTAACTGCCTTGACTTGCAGTGAAATGCCTCAAATTTAATTGACCGTAATATGTACAGTAAGCAGGCCTGAATACAGTCTTTTTAATGCACAATTAACGGATGGTGATGTATGTTTTATTGGGGATATTGTGCTTTCAGCACCTAAGTGATTTGACACACCGAATGGCACCAAGTTAAACACAGCCTTTACTTTTGTGAAGTGGATGGTGTTGAGGTGATGGCTAGTCTCGTGCTTATGTGGAGCGTGATGACGCGAACGAAGAGGACTCACGTGTTATGCCGATGTGTTAGTGCAACTAGAAATTTGTGTAGTTAAATTTTTGGAATGTGACATAATCCAAGACTAGGCCTGATTTATGAGGAGTACTCTGCAAACCACGGTAACTGGTTGGTCATTTTGGAACAAATTTGGCAGCCTACAAAATGGACGCTCGCCACTGCATCGTTTGTTTGAAGTAATTCTTTGTTGCCAACCTGTCATTCGTGCGTGTTTCTCATGGAGGTGTAGGTGTGCTGGCAGGTAAACGGTCTTATTTGTTTTTACTTTAAATGACTCACTTTGTTGTGATTTGTGAATCGTTGAACAGAATGCGCTAAAATCCGAGATTGTCATGATCTCACACCAGATTACGATCATGTTATTGCCAGACTGCCACCACACAACTGTCTCAGTTGTCTTCGTTCACACCAGGCTTCATCGATGGCCTGCGCACGACGTGAGGCCTGTTGTTCACACACTAATCCACGTGAATGGGCGAGTTGGCGAATTGAAAGTTGCCTCTTTGCATGCGCATCGCCTGAGATAAACGTGGTTGCGATTTGGGACACCATCACTTGAGGTGGTTACGTGTTCACATGTTCAATTAAACCTCGTCACACACACACACGCATGCACACACACACACACAGACTCCGCTGCCTCTGCACCGCGTTCATCTCACTGTCGATGCTTTCTTGCACAAGCGTGGTGGACAGAATGGTGGTTTCTGTGTTGAGTGTTCTGCGTGGAGATGTTCAAATCATACTCGCCTTGCATCAGCACGGGTGCTCGGCGTTGATTGGTTGATGGGAGGTGGGGCTGCAAAGGGAGAGGACGAGACGATGGCTTCTGGTGCCACTTCGCAACCACTTGACCCACCCACCGCACCACACTTCGTATTCCCATGTGCAAGCTAACGTGTAACCTAGATTATTTAATTAACTCGATTACTGGTCTACTTGAAAACATGGCAATTTTTGGGGCCCCTTAATCGCTGGCATGTGTATTTCAGATTTATTCAAGAAGCATTTAACTTTCATCAATTGATGTTGAAACCGAGTGAAGCATAAATTTGATGTTTTTAGGCCATCGACACGGATGGTCTCAACTTGGCGTTTAAGCCAGTAGCCCTAATTTGGAGATACACAGCTACTGGCGTCTCCACGTTGACGTTAGTCTTCTTGTGGAGTAAAGTTTTCCATTTCAACTCACGGAGCAGTCCTTATTAGAAAAGATTTTGACTGCAGAAGTATTAATTATGCCTGGAATTCAGGAAATTTGGACTTCGGAGGGGAACATTCAAATAGGTGGTGCTGAAATGTTTGCGAGTGGAGGTACCTTTATTTGAGTGCAATTGAAAGTCCACAAACTTGTAAGTTATTTGCCGATGTCAGAATTTTGTGATAAAGGCGACTTTGTTCCAGAAAGTATTTACTAACGGTGGCATAGCTGGTAGTGCCAAATGTGGCTTGTCATCAAGAATAGCTAATTGTAAAAAAATTGATTTTTAAGTTACATGTCAAAAGCTTGCTTGACCTTTGGTCGCTGTGTTTTGAAAGCTTACCAGAATAATCGGTTGATCACCACCAGGTCATGAAACCGGATTGAAAAAAATAGGTCACTGCATTTTTTAAATAAGCCAACTTTCATAATCGTTTTACGGCGCTAAGATGGTGTATGGAGATGCAGTTCAACGCTTGCAATTATGGCCCAATCAACTCTGTGACTTTTTCTGCTGTGATTGTGTTACATTTGCCCGTAACAAAGAGGAAACCACTCAAATAACGGTACCAGATCCCTTGCTGAAGCTAGAACCAACCTTCCCAAGCTAATAAAAGAACAAGACCAGAGCTCGTGCAGAGAGCTTTATTCACGTGAGCCACGTGCTGAGAAGTCGTGAAATCGAAAGTGAAAACGAAACTACCTCAAGTCAAGGCCAACGTTGAAAAGCATAACAAAACGCATGTTAGTGAATAACTATAAATAGCATCAGAAACCAATCTTGGGGAATCGTGAATCCCCAACAGATTTTGAGGCTGTGTTAAATCCATTTTTCTGGCACAAAGTCCACAAAGTGCCAGCGAAAGTCAGATGGTTTCCTATAGAGTTGCACTTTTTAATTTCGGAAGCACACATAACGGAGGTAGTGGTGAAATTCAGGCAACTACCACCACGCGAAACCCCTGCTGATGTCCATTAACTGAGCCCAATTTACGGCATTGAAGGACTTAATACTAACACAACAATTATCCAGTTAGAAGGTTAGCTACTCATTTGACACTCGCGACGCAATGTCCCTGAAATTCATGAATTGCAGCCGCTAGAGTGGGCCGTTTATGCTGATAATGACCAGCTCAGTGTACAATTATCTTCTCGGTTTGGTCTTTTTTTTCAATTTTAGGGTGTCAGAGGAAAGCGTTTATTCGTTTATTTGCGCCATAGAACAGAACTACAGACAATGTGTCAAGTGTGGGTTCGCCTCCAGTGGTTCAAAAACAGGCGAAACCAGATTTACCAAAAAAAATTTCGCCGAAACTGTACGCAATAAAAAACCACTTAAAACGTACCAAGATTAAGTTTAGATACAGTTAAGACAATGCCAACTAAGTATTCTAAGATTTTGTTTAGGAAAATGTGAATGAATGTTTACGTGTATGGAGACTAGGGCATACCAACATTAGGATATGCATAGGACGTGATTTAAAAAGGCAGAAGTTTGTAGTAAACACTTGAATTTGTCAAATAACTGATTTCTCGATTATGATAATTCAAACTTCCAGGATGCAAAATGCCTCTGAAGTGGCGATTAGGCCAATTTGATTGCAGATAGACCGAATACAAGTACACAGCAGCGTTTGGGTTTGGTATGCATGGTAGAAGAGCCAAAAAGGCTGATTCGGTGGATGTAAATCTTTCATTTGGTTTAAATTAACTGGATGCTGGTAGAATGGCACTACGTGCTGGCACACTAGTATCAAAAATCGTTGACAGTCGACAGGCCTAAAGCCCAAACACGTAACTGATGTTGCTACTGATTGTTCGTGTGCAGTTACGATAATTAGCGATTTTATTTCAGCCGAGCAAAATTGTTTAACCAGCACTGTGTTTTCACTAAAGATTGATTTTAAAAAGTAGTGACGGCATGAGAACAAAGTGATAAGCCCAGTATTGCCAACGGACTTGAATTTACACGACAGCCTAACTTGAAGTACCTTGCGGTTAATGCTGGGGTCAAAATAATGAAAAACCAAGCTTATTTTATACGCCTAATCTGTCAAGATTAAAAGTCCAAGAAAAACTAAATTTTTCGGTTTTGCCTGTAGCACAAAATGGCTTTAGATTTTTGCAGACCCGAAACTAATGAAAATTATACAATTTTTGTCAATCAGAGTCTGTATCTTATAATATTATACGTCAGAATCACTAAATCTTGATTGTTAGATAAGTACAGCATCTGCCGCTAAATTGTGTATCAATTCGAAGTGATGCGGCAAAATGTTCAATATAAGGACCCTCGATTTGACTTCATCGGCATCCAGCAATTCAAACGTGCGCAAATTCCTCAGTTAAAATTCGATGCGGACTAAAACGTATTGTGCTGACATAAGGCAACTGTAATGCGCCTACCGAGTGGGGACCTAAATAGGGAGATGACTGTTAGCCCGTCCCTCTTAGATAGCCACACCCTCCTGATTAGCTACCGAGCATACGATAAAAGAATAAATGGCAGAACCGGATATATTTCATACTACCGCATACAAATTCAGAAGGCAAGAGCTAAGGGGGAGTTAAAGCGGGGAAAGGGGTGGCCGTGAGGAGGGTCGGCGTTGCCCTCAGACTCACGGGAGCGCCTTGAGGAAGGGGAGGGCGCGGGAAAGGAAATGAGGACAAAGAACAGGCCAGACCGGCGTGCGTGGGTCGAATGGCGCGTTACACATCTAATGTTTCTAATTGCTGCTTTAAACTGTGGAGGTATAGTGATTAAACAAATAATCTGAAGCGATTTTATGAAATATGTTTATATCCAAAAGTAGATGAAACCCAAAGCGCAGTGTATATAAAAATGTGTATTTTTAAAGAAAGAAAAAAAATTAAACTGCACTGTCACTGTATTCAGTGCAAAAAATAGCCAGATAAATACTTACAAAAAATTAGTGGATACAATTTGGAAGTTAAAGTTATATTGCAAATCAATATCACCGTATCAGCATAATCATTTTGCCACATTAAATAAACCAACAAACACAAATAAGATTCAGGAGTTTACAGTAGTAATTTTACACAGCATCACATTTTCAAATATTCATGTAAAAAATTATCTTATTGACATATCGCTACAAATATACAACCCTTTAGATTGATAAATAAAAAACCTTTTAATTAAAGGTTTTAAACTATTTATTTATTTATAACTAAAGCATTTTGTTAAAAAGTAGAACAATGCGTTGATGAACTTTTTCTAGAAGAATCAAAAGGATTGATTTTCGGTTATTTTCTACAAAAATTGCAAATTAAAGAAATAATGTCAATCGAAAAAAGATTCAAAATTTGTGAAAGAGAGTAGTAATAAAATCTGAAGTCACTAGTATTCTCGTTGTTCACATTGTCAAATCTTGTTCGATTTCCTGAGGACTAAAGGTTTTTTCGTAAACCTTAGAACCGTTATCTTGACATTTTTTAAATACTGTAAGGTTTAAATGCCTTTATCACCTCACTTTTATCATTTTGACAAGTTTTCTAGGTTCACCGTTACAAAATATTCTGCAATCTAAATCATATTATTCAGCTATTATTTACTAATCTTGAAGTAGCAGCGTGTGTATATACTCTGTCACACTTAATGAACGATTTTCAAAATTGAGTTTGCATTTTGATATTTTATTATGTTCCCAAAAATTAAATCAATACTTACTAAATCTGCAGTTTGGTTTCTTCTCGAATTTCACGGTCTTTAAGCCTTATCATTGATTAACACTTTTAATGATTTACAAAAGCAATTTTACATGATGACATTACAATAGATCGCCCTTAATTTTTTGCGCCATGTTAATGGATCCTCTCACTGCTTCCTCCCATGCTTAAACTAAATTCCTAATTTGCCTGAAAAACACATTTTTTATTAACGAAAAAAATTAAAACAACTTTTTTATAACCACAATAGGTCAATTCAAATTTAGCCATTAAATCAGTTGATGCTTGTAAACCATAAACAGGCAGTGGTGTTTTGTTCAAATGGCGGCTTCTTCGGTTTATTGAGGCGGTTCTAACCATTGGGCAATAGTCCAGGTTCGCGATGGCTTTTATTTTATATATACATTCCTAAATACAGGCCATTTGTGTTTATATCTTTGTAATTACCTGGTAGTTGTCTGTCTCGTGTTAGTCATTTGCCCATTTGAGTTGTCTCAATCGGCTAGTCATATACTAATCGTGCAAGCGTATCGTTGTGTAGAAATTTTGGGTCATTCTGTTCTTACTTAGAACCGTGCAATTTTCCAATCTTATCCCATGCATTAGGTGGACAGTTGTGTGCGAAAGTTGGATCTGACTTTCGCTTCAGACGTACTCTGTTGTCGCCCTCAGGAGACGTTTTGCATATTCATCTTAGTGAATTTGAGTACGGTGTCATGACTTGCACGCACTCTACCTTTTCATTTTACAGGTCACAATGAGCACGAACCCGTTGATCGCCAACCTCGCCTCACAGACACCTGGATGGCTTGGTACTTTAGCAATGAACTTAGACGGCGTCGTTATACATTCAGCTGGTGAGCTAAAAAATGACGATGAAATAGCAAGCAAGTTTTTTGAGTTGGCCCGCCACGTCGGTAGGTACATGGAACTCGAGGGACCACAAGCCAATCAAGAAGATCCTTTCAAACGGCTTACAGGTAAGTCGGTTTATGTGTGCTTTTAAAAATTGTCGGCCTTCCAACCAATCAAAACGTCTCTCCCAGAGAGAAATGTCCCTCTCATTATCGATCGCATCGCTGCGCAGGAGTGCACATACCTAACTTCATGACTTCCGTTTTAGTAATGTGTTCCAAGCACGCGTACGTAATGACCTGCATTGGCGACACTATATACGTGGTCAAACGACGACTGCCCCAAATCGACTCTGAATCCTCCGTCGACGAAACCGTACTCATGAGGGACCCTCACTCACCTATAAATGTCTGATTTTTCAACCATAAAATGCCTGATCTTATTGACGCTTTCCTCCTTATTTTCTACGTGCGCTACGCCCCATCCCAAGACTGCTAAATCTTAATAAAGTAGGCTCGATTTTCCTGTTATCCCTTCCACACGAAGGTCCGTGGACTTAGTTAATGTTCGCCCGTGAATCCGGTCTGTAGCCCTAGTTAGAGTCGGATTCATCCCTACAACTCGTCAGAGCCAATAACTTTGAAGTGGTGTCGAGGCTCTTTGCTAGCCGCAAGACCACACCTCACTGATTGCCCCCACCGAATACGGCAAAGTGATTTCAGCTAGGAGCTGTGCCATGATCCAGCTGGCAGTGCATGGAGCTGGCCTCGCTTGATGCTCGGGTCCCACCCAGGTTCAACCGAAGAGCACCCGTAGGCGACTGGTCAACGTCGAAGGCCTCTAGTTTGGATGGACGGAAATGTCACTTCCCCCATGGCTCCTTGAACCAGAACCAGAATTCTGGGCTATTTATGACAGATTTTGATCCCAACACCAGAACAGTTTGGTAAAACAATATATTTACACACCATTTCATTATAATAAATGTAGACATGCAGTTCTCACATGTGTAAATAAGAAGAACACAGTTATTTGTACAAGCATGAAGTACCCATAGCGATTAGGACGCGCAGCAAACGACCTATTCGTTCAGAAGGCTTGAAAAGAACTAAAAATAAACAGTCGTTAGACATTGAATAAAACAATGGGCACGTAGACATTGGCGAATCCTACTACGCCCAAGCAGTATACTTGTAGAGTGGGTTTTTGTAAATAGCAACCTAAAGAAACACTCAATTTCCTTGAAATGATTCAACGTTTGCATGACGACGCAAGTAGCTACGACATCAAAACGACTGTTAGAAAGGTTAGCGCCAGATAACGCGTAGGGTTTATAAAGCTTAATTTCACGTTCTGACACATGTTGCAGGTGGAAGGAAACCGTTGTTAAATATTTCGGGGTTTCGTGGCTTTAAAAGCACGCAACACCAACCTTGCCATATTCGCCGTGGTTGACGCTGATATCGGCGCCATTGAAGACGATGTCCTGGCGATGCCATTTATCGCGTGTTGGCACACTCAACCGACCATAACGCGTTCTCCTCAGTGTGCGCACGTCAACGAGGCCTGTAGAGGAAAAGCAAGGGATGCCATTGCATAACACCAGAAAAAGACCGCGATTCCCCACAACTGGAAAGTCGTCTGATTCGACGGGGTCTGAGAGGGCGAACTCGCCAAGCATACCAAGCCGAGACGCCACTCAGCACCAGAAGTGATTGACGGAATGGGCCATACCTGTTTGAGTAACGAGAATGTGCTTATCGTTCAGATTTCGCAATTTCTCGCGGTGCCTCTTCGATATATGGTGTTTCTTCAAATCAGAGGACTTTGGTTTGTGCCTTTTCACCTTCTTATCGGATCCCGTGCCGGTGGAAGCGCTCTATAAATTACGATGAGAAAGGCAATTTCATGTTAACTCCAAAGACGATGGATGCACCGGCTTAATCATCGACGCCATCTACACAGAAGGGACTACTTACCGCCGATTTTAACGGTGTATTCTTTCTATGGCGATCGTGCGGAGTAGAGGTGCTTCCTTTGGTGATAGGCTTGGATTTGCTGGATCGAACGACAGCAGTGGCATCAGTTGTCAAATCGACAAACGAGTCGGATTGGTCAGAAGACGTGCTATTCGCGCTGTTGGTCGTTCGCGCCGCTCCGCGGCGGTGACTCCTGTCAGCGCGATTTTCGTCCAACGCGTTCTTATTGCCGCAGCGAGCTATATGACGCGATTTTGAGTGCTTCATTGAAATCTGTCGCAGTCGCAGCCTCGGAGATAGGTCGGTGGTGGAGCGGTGAGTCAAATGTCGACTTTGTCTGGCCCTTTCCTAAATGGTAAAAATAGCAGAGAAAATAAGGCAGTGATGAGGGTGAAAAATGGGCGTCTATCAGACGAGAATACGGTGCACCAAACTGACCCTGGGCGAGGACGGGGAGGCAGGCCGACTCGGACCACACTTGGCATTGCGTAGGATCACGGGTTTCGAGGAGGGACGCGACGCGATGGACGATTCCTCATCCAAGAGCATGGAGGTTTGCACGCCAACATCCGCTCGACTGGGAGCATGGGACGGCGCTGTGACCGACTCAATCTCCGAAGTAGAATGCAAATGGCTCTTGAAAGACGTGGTAATTTCGCCACCCTCCGAACCAGGACTGCAGAGAACGGACACACCTGGTAACGGTTCATCCTCCCGTTGCCCTGACGACACTCCCACGTCATTGTGCTTCACGTGATTAAATAAATCGGCGGTAAGTCGTCGCTACGCAAAGCCTATTTTCGCTCGAAAAACAAGCGAGACACAGGGGACAAGGCCAATGAGCGCTAGACCCGTCAAATAAAGGCAAGTTATCAAAAGCAGAGTTGAGTTTGCGTTTTCGGGGAACATGTATGAATGAGGGGCATCGCGACAGTTGGACATCTTACCATTGGTGGATAGCAGTTTTTCGGTGAGCAGCGACTTGGCTAACGAGGCGGAAGACGGATGGGCTACGTGGTTGCACCTTTAGACTTGTCGGCTTTTGTGAATAGTAAAACTAGCAGGCGAATTATTCTCAAACTAATAGCCCAGAAGCGTGCATGAAAGTAACCGCAAACGGCAGGGAACAAACAACTGCCTTGGCAACGGGTGTCACAAAAGCCGGATGCCTCACCTTGGGTAAACGGTGGTTCAGTGCAGGGGAGGGACGTGACAGGGAATGGCCCGCGAGGGGTTTACGGGTCGGGCGAGCGTTCGAGGCGGAAGGCGGATGGGCGACTTTGTTGCCATTGAAGTGGCGTTTGAGGTTGAGTAACGGTACTTTTAAAGGCGACTTTTCAAGCGTGTATTTGCCATCATCACCGTCACTGTTGTTGTCTTTAGAATCATGTCCTATCGTCTCACTCTCTGCTTCGTCGCTGCTGGCAGATTGAAGGCTAGGTGAGGTGGGCCTACGCGCCGGTAATACAGTTGACGGTGCGCTCTTAAAACGAGTAGAACAAATAGAACATGGTCTAATACATGTCCACGTGAAGCAACACATTTTGGAAGCTACGGTAATCGCTTGAAATCTGCATGGGGTGTAGCGCTACGAAAACAGAGATGCGTGCGTGACATGGTTGTGATGGAATTGGAATCAGTGTGAACGATGTGCATGAGGAAAACCGATTACTCTTCAATCGGCCGGCTTTTTGGAGAAAAAATTACACAGACGAGACAATTTGGTACTTACTTCTTGCGAAAAGGATCGGTTGCACAGCTGAACACAATCTTCCACTAAATTCAAGCAATTAGGCAAATTGTGACGTACTTCGATTGCACATCTCGCGTATTCCCAATGCATAGTCCAAATCGCAGTCCTGGGCGGAGGAATCCAATGTTTTCCCGTGCTAAGTTTTCGCAAGCAAACATTGAAAAACAATTTGCAACGCGGAAAAAAACAAAGCATGTGACTGAGAAGCAAATACACCATAAGAAACGCTCTATGGTATGAAAATTGAACATTTAGTACCTATTGAAACAAGTTTCGCGTTGTTAACAGCCGAGTGTGATAAGTACGGTCAAACGAACAGCCAGGTAAGGTGGCCTAGGCAGAGCACTGATGATTTAGGCAAATGTTCCGATAGATCTTATAACACAGGGCCTGTAAATGAGGAATTACGTGTCTACAAAGTGAGACACCACACCAACGACGACTGTTGGAGAGGTTTACAGGAGGCACAAATTTGAGTAAAACATTTAGCTATAGTCTGCTGTGTGGCGCGTTGCGAGCCACAAAACTGATGAATGTACGGGAAATCGTGAGATAAAAGAATTCAATTTCGATTTGAAAGCTTTTAAGGACAAAAAATTTGAACTGATTTCCACTAAAACATGGTTTAACGGTTTTTGAAAGTTGTGTATTAGGTAGCGTCGAGAAGGAATAAGATGACTGGCTTTTTAATAAATAACAAATAACGTGCCCGTGGTACCATGTATGTTGCAGGGAGTTCAAAATAGTTTACGCAGAAGACATCAAATCATGATGAAGGTTAAAACATACTTAACATCGAGGCATTTGCATGCCCTGACCGGGTTTGGCAAACAAATCAAGGCGACTCACGTCTTCTACGAGTTGGTATAAAAAGCGATACAAAGATCGCATCCAGTGCCTCCAATTTTGCGGAAATCCGGAAGAAAAAGCTTCGTTAATTCGCTGTGGTACTTTTAATTGTCTCACTTGAGGATAGACAAGCTTATAAAATTCCCATGAGATAGGACCACTGAGTTTGAAGTGATCTTTCCCATCAGAGACGACGTGTCCAGTATCACCGACAAAGTTGATCACTCCTGAGTGAACAAGACGACCAGAGGCAACATGTCGTCCCGCGACACGACATCCGCCATGTCGTTCCAAGGCAACGGGTATCCAATCCCTCAAGTGGATAATAGATGACGATGAATTGGAAGAAACGCTGGCACGCTGACCACTCCACTCAACGATGTTTGAGGGCCCGAATTGTTCGTATTCCTTCAAATTACTTTCTGCTTCGTTATCGGTGGACGGCGGGAGGGGTTCCTGGGGAAAGGATTGAGGAGAGACCGGTGTGACAGCATTTTGGTGATTTGTCGCGTTCATGCCAGGAAGATATGGACGATAATTATTGCCCATCAAATATGACATTGGGGGCGTGAGGGAAGGACCAGGACTTCCGTAGTAGATTTGTGGACTCGGGTAAATAAATGGTGGATAAGGGAAGAAGATCGGTGGCATGTTAGATGACATAGAAGGGTCTAAAATACACAAGCCATTACGGACTTACTTGAATCGCCTTGAGTCCACAGGGACAGTCCTTCTGGATAATGTTTCAAAGGCTGCCTAAAAAGTAAAGTTACAGGAACCACACTTACATTATAGCAAAAAAGGGAAGGCATAAAACCCGCCTTTAAGGAATTTGGAATTTTCAATCGCTAGCAGATTATCGATATATTTAAACAAAATTTGATTGAGTGCAATTCCAGATTTTTACCACTATTTATGTAGTAACTGCCTGACGTCGCTGCTAAAGGAATGTTTTTTAGTGCCAAAGAAAAAAAACTAATTAGATATCTTGCTATAAATTTGACATCACTCACTTATTTAAGAGGGCATCGCATTTCTTTTGCAATTTTGCAAGTACTGCACCTATTTTGCATTCGCCAATTAATCATTATACCCAGAAAAGTTTTAAAAGGCTTAATTGCATGAATCGTGCTATTATAATGAATTGGTCCATGAGTTTTGATATTTTTTAGCGATTTGGACAACATCCTGGCGACCAGCATCATTGCGCAAGATATTGTAAAAAATCTTGCATGTCATTTTGATTTGTCATTATTCCAGAGTTTGAGCTTTTGTTTGCTGACCTTTTATCCTTTTAATTAAAATGGAAATAGCAAAATGTACACCTGCACACAAATCCTCATGTATCGAATGGGTCTTAATGGCTACGTATAGATCGTGTCGACCTACGTCTGCCTCCTCTTATTTATGTTGTTTACTCCTTCGTTTTATAAGTATGATAAAGTGACATAATTCAAATCCAAGTATGCATAATCTTCGCAGACTCAACTTGATTTTTAATACCACTTTTCTAATCCACCATTACAAATTCGCCTACGACTTCTTATTTTAGAAACGACTTTGGATAATACTCAGGAAATAGGTAGAAGATATCAAAAAGTGTTTAACCTGGTGACTAGTGTCCACTTGAATTTGTCTAGTCCATGACATTCATGTTGGTGAATCCTTAAACTTCACAGAAGTGTGTGACAAGAAAATTATAATTCAAATGTTGAGCCACGTTTAAGTTGTCGACCGAGTCAAGCACATCGGTTGCATAATGCGTTTTGAAGGTATAGTGATTGGATAATGAGACACAGAGGTCAGATGAAATTAAATGGATTATTTAACGGTTCACATTTCCAAGACGCCGAGACCTGCCTTAACTGAAGTAATTACTGTAAATTAACACAAACCAATTTAGCTGCATCTCAACATTGGAATGTCACATTCGCTTATTAGCTCCCCAAATTTCTAAATTCATACTCAGATATCATCATTTCCATTAAACATGACAACCATCGCCATTACATAGACCATGACGTCTAGCATCCCCAATCCCGCTATCCTTTCTCATCCAGTTCTAAACCACCCCCAATGACGAAGATCTTTGAACGTCAGGAGCATTGATGGTCTTGCAGAGCTTCCACACACCCATCGATCGATGAGTCGCCACCTAGTGTCTACACCTCAATCAAAACTAACAACCTATGCCCAATCCAGGCATGTTCACGCTAATCATAATCCTCAATCGGAAACTACGGCAGACTCCCTAAGCCCCGACCTCGAACGCTTCCTGCTTTTCTCCTCGTGAAAATCTACACGCCACACTAAGGCAACAATAGATCCATCATTGACCTCCTGCCGGCCAAACGACAACCATGCACGACTCACGTGTGGGCACACCCTACACGAGACTGTAAATTCCCGGCACGGGAAGCATTACCATCAGACACAGGGCATAAAGTGAATTGCAATATTATAATCGGACATCCACCTTCGTATTTTCGCTGATAGAAACAACGGTAGAAGAAATAACAGGGACGGAATGGGACAGAGTTGACGGTACTTAAACCTCGGCTAAATTAGAGGGTGGGGACTGCGAAAAAGCATCGCACAGAAGAGCTCTTTGTTAATTGTCAGTTTCTGTTGTCAATGTTTTATGTACAAAAGGCGAACCGGGGAAAGACCAATAAAGCACACTCAGAATATTTCGATTCACGTCATCATTCTGTATCAAGAGCCATCCATTGAAAGACGTGTCCATGACCCAAGAGCCATGACTCCACCTTGTTAAGAGGAGACGCCACTTGTCGCAGGAACAATTAACCTGAAATTAAAAAATGAGCACCAATCCATTGAGTTCATATTCATGAGGCAGGTAACTAATGTTTATCCACAATCGCATTTGTTGATACAGACGTTTAATCAACACCAAATCACGTTTCAATTATTGTGACAAGAGCATATACGTTCACCTAGCTTTCATTCAGGTTGAACATGTGTTCTCGAGCACATCCACCAACTCAGTCACTTCTGACGCCATTGTAATGGCTACGAGAAACGCACCAGTACACAACCGAGCAGTTATTCCTAATTATGTCCTCAAACCATCCGAACACGCATTCAGGGAACATATGACCAACCTAATTGTTCCAACTTTGCCCTTCTCTACTCGACTTAATTCAATTTACATTAAGTCTGGCAACCCAAGAGCCTGCGCTTAGTAGTTACAAAGTACACACAAAACAAAATTAAGATGCAAATTACCAGTCAGCTTCAACAATTAGCTTTTGGAAAACGTGATCACGACCGCGAATCTTCATGATGCCATCGCGCAGCCAAAATCTCCACTTGCTGCGGGCTCGGCTCACCTGAAAACGGTGAAAACAAGGTCACATGGACGGAGGACAGCACAAAAACACCACAGCCATAAAACCGCACAATCCATTTCTCTAAAGTAAACACACTGCTTCGATCAAGCACACAATCGGCTCCAAGGAAGATCCCCGGAGCATGTGTCATGCACCCATGACTGTGTAAAAACTGACTTTATCGGCGACATCATGAGAGCCTACCACAGGCAATAAATTATCAAAATGGATCCGGCATTACATCGCAAATCACATGACCAAGTTTCCTGGAGACGAAAGCAACTGGCAGCTAAAGGTAGACAAATATCACAGAAATCTTACCCTTTCATATTGGCAGACGACCAGATTTTCTGACTCAAAGAGAGACTCAGGCTCTTCATCGCTGACGTCGTCGCCCGAATTGAGAGGGTCATCGTCTTCCTCTTCTTCAGCTGCCGCCTCTTCGGCAGCAATGGTGGGATCAGCGTGGCCACTAGGATCATCTGGAGGAAGGTCGGGGATGTGGTCATCGTCAGTTTCCTCCTTCATCCCTCCCGGTGTTGACACAGTACCCACAAGGTCCGGCTTCTTTGTCGTTGACGGCGTCTTCTGTTTCCTTCTAGACGTTGGCGCCGATCGTGGATCATCTTCTGCCAGACCCTCCAGCCTGCACAAAAAAATAACAACTCAGCAGATTACTGGTTTACCATCGGCTTCACTACATCACAGATATCCCACCCATAACGACTAATAGGATATGTGCTGCATAACATGATTCAATCAACCAAATAGCGTTATCCTGGTAAACAACTGACTACAGGGACAGATGCCACTTGAATACATTTCCCCAATACGCAACTCACATTTTCCGCCATCCGCTTCCCACGCTTACATCTGCAGCTCCTACAATGTCACCTAAAAATTACGCTACGAGGTACAACGCCGCAACCATAAATAATGTACACAGCCGTACAAACAGCAAAGCGTGAACTCACCGCTGACCAGCTGGTGTCATCATGGTAGCAACACTGCCAAATTCATCCTCGTCGTCCAAATCTTCGTCATCACCCTCATCATAATCATCGCCGAAATCTCCACGCGATGAATGGCGGATTCGTTTGGCATTCTGCTTCCCACCTGTAGACAAACCAGACGTCTGACGCTTCACGCCAGTTTGTTGGCGCGGTATTGTCGCGCCTGTCACGAAGACTGAGCCCGGATCGGGCGTCATCATGCCGACACCAGGAGTCGCGACAACCATGTCCTCGTCATCATCGTCGTCATCATCAATGGTTGCTTGGGATTGAGGCGGCTGCACAGTGCCAGGTGGTCGGCTGAGCACCGAACGCGGAGTGGTAACACTCACCGGTGGCCGTAAAGACGACGACTCCACCGAATAGGGGTCCAAATCGTCGTCGCCGTCGTCAAAATCACTGTCGGCCCCACCGTCCACTTGTGTCTGCAAAGATGATCGGAACGATTCTGCATTTCAAATTACACGTAGGTGACGTACGACTCTAGACTCGCAAAATGACAACAAACAAGCAGGATTCAATGCTACTGGGACGGCGGTTGCAATCAATGCCGGCAACTCTGACGACTTAAACGAACCATCTAGAGGCAACATTGTCATTGATTCAATGGGGTTGCGGCGTGTATCGTAATTGATCAGTATCAAAATATTACTTGAATGCGAGATGAACCTAAAAAGGCTTCAACATAGTAACGTCGTGCGGCATATGGACGCAACTAAGACACGATGCACATGCGTGCTATTCCTCTAGTTTGTTTTTGCATTAAATTGCACGGGCTATTGGTGTGAGTATTGCTTCTGGTCATGTAGCGAGTATTGAGCCCAGCAAATTACGGTGATCTTCCAGAAATCATGTAGTCCCAATTAACCTACTCTGTTAAATGCCTGTGTCTGTAGGACCGTCGTACCAGTGGCATCCTGGTGCAGTTGCTGAGCGCCAGCAAGTTGTGGTCTGAATTGAAACGGCACCATAAAGGTTTGCTGACCAAGTTGCAGAATTTGTACATTTTGACCTGAAAAAGAATTGGCAGTTACGGAAAGAGATGCGACAATCTTTCTACAACATAATCCCGACACGTCACTGTTTACGGCCAGTAATTTGGAGACATTAAACTTGACTTGGTGGGACACTATAAAGGCATCACTTAAGAGGAATTAAAAAGAAATGCATGCGGCCATAAATCGAAGCGAATTCAAATGACGTGATGAAACCGCGACAGGATAATCAGAAAAAAATGATTTAAATCTACATGGGCACTTACGAAACAGGAAATAAGACAAGAGTTAAAAAACAAGAATACGCCACTGACTTTCAATTACATTACACTCCACCAACAATGCCACCTAATGTTGTAACTCAATTGGCATTTTTACGAACTCAGGCATATCGCAAGGGCCAGTGATCTGAAAACAGTGCACCAACGTTATTTTCACTGTGTTGGGAGAGCCATGAATTTACACCAACGGTTACAAATGAGTGAGTCTTAGGATCACTGGATCCCTGTCGATGCCCACTTTAACATCGCACAACTCGCTCTAGTTTACGTGCGTTGCGATTAGGAATCCAGATAACCTCTCTTCCAAGTTGCCAATAAACAGCTGCTTCCATTTGCGATAAAACTTGGCATAAAACTGCCACTTAAACACCCTCGAGAGTGGGCAGCCGACAAATATTAAAAAATGTTCCAGGCCTAGATAGTATAAGGGCACAAATAACCAACCAAAGCGCAATCAAGACGAATCACACTTACCAGGGATGCCGGAGAGGGTTTGTACTCCATTTACGCTAGGTAGACCTGGCTGCCCGATAATAGTGGTCTGACCAGCTGCGTTTTGCAATGGTGCGCGGATAGCTATGCTGACCGGATTCGCAAGTCGCGGCTGAGTTGCCTGTTGTTGCGGGTTCAAAGCAGCTGCTAGCACGATCGGCTGACGTGCCCCGGTAGGAGCACCAACGGCAGAGCGTATGACTATCCCCGGTTGCTGAGCTGGAGTCAGATTAGCTACCGTTGCAGTTGTAAGAGGTGCATTTGGGCGGGCTATTGGGGCAAGTGTTCGCATGGCAGAGGGTTGCCCGATTGTGTTTGGTTGTATAGGCAGACGAGCGATAGGTATGGACACACCGGCTTGGCCGACACACGCCTACGACGAGTAGTACAAGCAATAAGTGATCGTGTGGGCAAAATCACACAAAGCGGTAATAAATTAAGCTACCTGATACTGGGCTGCTTGGAGTCGCTGGGCATAATGAACCGCAGACTGAGCTGCTGGTTCCGGATCAGCAACATGCGACTCGGCAAGCTTCGATGACCAAAGCTATAGGAAAAAGTGCCGTTGACTCTAACTTAGATTTCCGACTACCTTTTTAAGCTCTTCCAAAACTTCCAAATCAATGCCTTCTTGCGTAAAAGTCTCCTTCATACCATTGATTACGTCTTCGATAATGCCATTATAAAAAGCTGCCTACAAAACACAACCAATGAGAAAACAAACAGAAGGCCTACGACGTCCGTCATTTGAAAACGAAACTGGCGAATGACTGTGTGCGCATTTAAATACCACAGATTTTCAGAGCCGTATCAAATCAATCCAAGAACTATTGACATTGGATCAATAAATAAAGCCTTCTAATTTTAAGAAATTATAAGTTATGAACACAAATAGTGCTAAAATTACAAACGCTATTAAAGGTGTCATAAATTAACACTATAAAACACTTTGTTGTAAAAAATATGCAGATGTTTCATAAATCAATTTCCCCATAATTAATATCTCAGTTCCGGTCCCGTTGTGTCCTTGTTTGCAAACACTGCATCCGCAAACCACATTTTAGCAAAAAAATCTTGATGGCAACTGTTTTGTTGTAATTTTTCTGATGGTGCTAAATTTACTCTTATCAATCTGAAGTGTCAATTATTCACTCCCTGTACTCGTTGCATTTACGATTGCAAAGCCGGTTCCCATATTCTCACAAATTTTCTTTATGCATCCAACAAGTAATCAGAAATATATCAAGGTGCTACGTTGTGCTAAGTCCTGTGTGAGTAATTTATGCACACACAAAAATCTAGCTAGTCATTTCTTAACCCCTCCCTAATTCAGTTTGCTTCTTAATATATATTTTAGTACTGACTTCAAATGCATGGTTCTTTATTCGATTCAATTTCAATTTAATGATTTTACAAATGTATTATCAAATGAATGCCATTGCAAGACTGTTTACACTAGCACTCTGTACTAACTTAGACATAAGCATATGATAATTAGAATTGATTTTTCAAGTCCTTCTTAACATATTTGGCATATCTTCATCTGTTTAATTGTGCACTAATCGTGATTATTCTTGCCAATCAATAAAAAATCTGAACAGTTGTTAATGGACTCATTACGAAGTTTGTTTTTCGAGTCGGTGTTCTGGAATTCATTTATGAATCAAAGGTTCTAATTACGTAATTCTCTATTTCAACAGACAGCCTTGAGTCTCTCAAAAACAATTATCGACCAAATATCTGATTCTCTTCTTCTTTTATGTGATCGACTACTACCTTTATATATTTTATTAATAGACGGTCTTGGTACCTATCCTTAGGCTATTATTGAACCTTCTAGGTCTACATAAATAAGTGCAATCATCAATTGCACGTAGATCACCATTTTCATCCAGTCTTTCATCAAAAGTCTTTGTACCATAGCTCAAGTACAATCAAACAATAGCCTGGCTTAGCAATGCCATGTATCCGCTAATGACTTGTGGTCTGTCTTCATTAAAATTCCTCTGCTCGAGGCAGCCACACAACTCGCGATGGACCCTCTGAATGTGCACCTAAAGATTATTAATGCAAATCTTAAACATTAAACACGTTTAACAACAGGTACAAAACTGTTTCAATTTGCCTACCTTATATTGACCAAATCAGCCAGAGCCTATTCCAGGCCGTAGACACATGGCTGTATCGATCATCTCTATCAATCAGCACGCACTAATAATTTTGTTTTTTGTTATATTGAAAGCGACAATGGTCACTTGACAGTAATGCACTAGTTGAAAATTCACTTATAAATGCAATTCCGTATTGCAAATGGCAAATGTCGTGCTCCACAAGTCCCAGCACGAAAACAAAAGACGAACACAAAAATTCAAATTCGAAATTTTGAAATGGACTCGAAAGATGGTACGTTCAATGTTCGGCCCTCAACAATACAAAAAACGAATATGCTTATCCTGCAAAGTTATATAGGAAAGGTTTGTAGGATGGTTTCTTTTACACACAGACGGTTATACCTTCCCATGTGCTGTTTAAAAGTAATCTATACTTCGGGCGAACAAATGGTTGCATTCCCTCTTTCCTTTCATATTAAATTCTTAGATATTTAAGTTACGCGTCTAATTTTTTTTCGACTTTGGGAGTCAGCGGATGCAAATGAACGATCACTTTAGGTTATGAAAATGCTAAAATTGGGAACTTGGAGCAGTGATGGGAAAAATTAATGGATGGCGGAGATTTTAAATTTCAATTTAGAATCAAACTTGCTTGTGTAGGTTACCGTTTTCTTCTGCGACTAAGAGGATCAATATAACAATTATCGTAAAAAAATGATTTTACAGAAAAGCGTTAATGCTTTATAAAGCAGATAAAACCAATCGCACCACTTAAGAATGCTGGAGATCTTTTGAAACCCTACTGCATCTCTTAGACGTTGTTTTTTATTGCCATTTTAGAAATCGTGGGCAATCATTTGGTGAAAAAGAAACAACTTCTGTCCGAGGGGCAATGAACTAGAAACCAATGCTAAAATAACCTACCACCAAGACTTGATCGCTGCAATTTTGTCAGTACTTGGATCATTTTCGTGTTATTCCTATATGCCTCCTTGTTTTAACGCGCATATGTTCGTTTTTCTATTACTCAAAATGTGTTCACTCAATGAACAGTTCTCCACTTGAGCACGCAGCCGTTTCTGATGATATTCTTAGCCGTCTAGTTTTCTTCTTAACTGATAGACAAATTAAACTTGTAATGTGTGGCACTACACTAGTGTTCTTAACCGGTATTTATATATTCAGTTACTAATTAAAACAAGGAACTGGAATTGTGTAATGTTTTCATTGGAAATATAGCCTTATTCTGATTGCCTTGGTTAGTAACGCGGTAATCCGACCATCGAAAACGAGTTTCCGTTCCATTTGTTTTAATTAAGAGAAGAGTTTGGTAATTCTTTGATTATGGACCACGCAAAGTTTTGACGAATCGCTAGTGCTCGCACAAACATTTCAATTTGGCGCTGGCTATTTATTTTTAAAACAGTGGGAGATGCTGCTCTCACCCTAACCAAAAAATCACTGACATTTAATAAAAATTTGACTGCGTCTTCAAAAATTGACCTTGATAGACCAACTAATAGACAGTCTAAACTAAGTTAGAGTTAGCCAATAGGGTTAAAAAAGATCGCATGAACAATCCACTTGAAATGTGCGGCGCAGGTGTTTGGGAGCGCAATACTCAAATGATCACAAACAAACAGAAAACGCATGGCAGTGGGAAATACCAAAGTTCTTTAACAGGGCAGTTACAGAATTTCTGCTAAACCGATACTTTCCTTTATCTAGTCTGCCGAAACTAGGTCGAATATCAGCAATGTTTAAGTTGTGGTTTCTTTGTCAACTGGTAGTCCACTAAGTTATTCTGTTATGTCTGCAATTTTTGATATTACGCCTTCACACACAACCATTTTCTTGAATGTAAACACGGAAATAACGAAAATACATTTGCGAAATCATAATATTTAGAAATGGTATTTCACAACTGTCAGGGCGGGTCGAACAATATTGTCTTTTGACCAGTCCTTGTAATGACATCTAAAGTGCGATATCATCTCCACCTTTCTTATTTCCACTCTCAAAGACTTCGAGGTGCCTTGAAAGATGAGGAGAAGTTGGTCAGCTGTTGTTTTACCAGAGTTACTCGTGAATTTCAATTCCAAGGTCGTCTCAGACGAGCATTGCAGCAGTTACATTCTATACACAAACAACACACTAGTTTTCGTCCTCAGAGCCTACATTTAACCCATACGATAAAGTATCTACATCCCATAGTGAAATCGAGCACTTGTGAGGCATCTATGTCCAGGCTTTATTGACCAACTGCAAGGCAGAACCGTCCGTCAAGCGCTGTCCATTGGTGGCCTCATTTGCCCTTGTCTCTGATTGGCTACTGTCGTTTAAACACACAAAGTCAGGGAATTAGGAGAGCCATTATATGGAACTCTAGTAGGATTAAAGAAACCCTACTTAGATTTGAGTGTTAGGTCTTTAATCGCCACTAGATTTGACTTTGTAGAAACGAAGAAGTCGTGGGTTCTCAGCCTGCATTATTTATTAGCCTTTTCCATTCTTGCGTCGCCCCGATTTGCTTTAACAATTTCTACAATGCCGGATACCTTCAGTGGGTAAAGCAGATCTTCTAGCATTAGGAAAACTCGCCTACGCTGGTAGCTTACCACTAAAAATGCCATGTTTCCAACGTGGTAATCAGTTGATCCAAATCATGTTAACTACTCTAAAGGCTTGCACTTATCCACAACCCCGCCGGTTAACATCCGGTAACAGCCCTTAAACGGAGACAACGCCGGGTTCGATGGTAGATTGGTGTCACGCGCGCGTGACATGACATGCAAGTCAGCAACCAATCAAAACGCGGATGAGTCATCAATACCACGAGGTCAGTTAACAAGCTTCCGTCATGTGCGATCGCTAATGTTCGTTTTTATCAGTCGGTTGAGTTTCCACATCTAAAATCTTAGAGCCCATTTAAATTCGAAAATTGTGACACTCGACAGTTTCATGACCTCGCGTGGTGTCTCGTCTAGAATTTCTGCAATTCCCAGGAGTTCCGGAGCCATGTTGGTGGCATAATTTCCCCCTACATGTGTTCAGCAGTGTCGTTATGTCCGGATGAGTCAGAGTGTGTAACAAGTGAACGCAGCAACCAATGGACGTAGAGATGAGGCATCGCAACCTGCATGTGAGAAAACAAACTTCACTCACGCGCGATCGCTGACGGTTCACTTCAATAGCTCGAATTTGTTGCCATTTCGTGTGGTCTAAATCTTCGTAAAGGCTTAATTTCCTAAATTATTAACATCCTCTTTCACGCTACAAACTCCAGCGTTTTAGCAATAGTGGAGGCATTCAGGCAGCGGCTTAGTTCGTTCTCGGCACCAAGACCAGATGCTTCCTTACTTGGTCTGACCCCCCACAACTACCGACCAGAAGTAATGCTTGTATGAGGATCAGCTATGTAACCCTGGCTGATAATGTCCACGCGTTAGCGCTTTTAATCAATAAATTATTCGTGTATTTTAGTAAGAATTTCCACACCATGATGTTCACCACCGTAAACTACCTTGAAGTGCTATTCGTAGTCCCCCCCCTCGCGATTTCACCAATCCGACCATTCCTGATTTCATTGTCGTCACCGTGGCAACTAGGCTGGCCATCTTTAACCACGTCCTCTGACATTCCCAGATCCCCATTCAGGAAAGTCACCTGCGCACGTCGTTTGCTTCATGAACTTATCGCCAGCGGAATCACACAAAGCTACTTAGTAATCATCGAGAAGCATAAACACATGTAAAACACCAAGAAATTGTGAAATTATAGCTCAAATCGAACAAATAGCTTTTGGAATGCTTGATGGTGAAATCATCGAGGGGTCAGAATTGTCAATTATATCTAGAAGCAGTGAAAGAAGGTAGGGAGAGACGATTATTGTGACACTTATATGTGATTTAAAATGCACAAACAAACGGTTAATTGTTCTGGTTCTCCTTATCCTCATCTTCCAAGTCTTCGGAAGCACGCTGGTCATCTGGACCAACAACAACATGTTGGTGGGGATCGGGGTCAACTTCTTCAGAAACAGGATCGCTTAGAGTTTCCACACTTTCCACGATTGCGTCGTCACCAACACTAATCCGCAAGACACCGTGGCGCAGTCGAAATCGCCAGATGCTTCGCTTTCGACCCAGCTGAAAGCAGTGGAAACATGACACAAGTGGACATGGAACACATCGGCGCAAAAACACATCAGCCATTACGCCAACACCGTGAACAGGCGATAACATCTGCTACAATGAGCCCTGGGCTACACCGTAAATTACTAATTCAAAGATTCTCGGAGACGCAAGCAAGCGGCGATTGATGCTTAAATGTAACAATAAATGACGAAAACAAGCAAATATCTCACATTGCCATACCCAGTCAAATTGACACACTACGGAATTATCTGCCTCATCGGCAAAAGCGTATTGAACGTGGCGGCTGGGTTCATTCGAACCAACCGATCGATCGAGGGGATCGTGGTAGTCGTCGTGAGTAGTAGAACTGACAATAGCCTCTGATTCTACTCTTGCCCTGCCCTCATTCGGCAGAAGGTCATTGACGTGACCGTTGTCAGTCTCTTCCTCCGTCTCTCCCATTGAGGACACAGTACCCACCGAGCCTGGTTGATATGGCATTGTCGACGTCTCAAAATTCCGTCCATACGCTGACACTGACCTTGAATCTGCTTCCACCGGATCCTCCAACCTGCACAAAAAACATAACACCACCTCAGCAGGTTACTTGTTTACCATCGGCTCCACTACATTAACGATAACCCGCCCACAACAACCAACAGGATATGTGCTCCATAACATGATTCATTCAACCAGTTGCCGCGTTACCTTGGCAAATGCCAGTTGAATACATTTCCCCAATACGCAGCTCACATTTTCCGCCATCCGCTTCCCACGTTTACATTTGAGGCTCTTACAATTTCGCCTAAAACTTACGCTACGAGGTACAACGCCGCAACCATAAATAATGTACACAGCCGTACAAACAGCAAAGCGTGAACTCACCGCTGACCAGCTGTTGTCATCATAGTAGCAACACTGCCAAATTCATGTGCGTCATTCAAATCTTCGTCACCGCCTTCAACATAATCGACGTGGAAATCTCCAGGCATTGGATTGGCATACTGCGACATACCAGTGATCGCTTCAGACGTCTGAAATCACGATGATGCAGAAATATCCGTCATGCGATGCGAATGTGTGCGAATTCTTCCTACTTAACTACACTTCCATCGTTGTAGTTTGATGGATAGATATCACAAATCCTGGTGCATCAAGCAACTGGTTTAGACTTGAGCAACTCACTTGTGTCTGCTTCACCGCCGTCGTGATTACGCCTCCGTAGAATTCATGAGCCCGAGTAGGTGGGGGTGTGGATTCACTAGGATCTGCAGTGTTCCGATCACGGCACACACCCTGTTCTAAAACGATCATGGAGGGCATATACTCAAAAACATTTATTTATTCATTCGAGGATATGCATTTTTTGTTCCGACACACAACGGATACGACATTTACCTTACCAACACACGACGACTATCTATTCATCTTGGCCTAAATTGGTTATCACCCCCTTTAAAGTCACATAGCAACTAATGACACGGTAAAAGACCAATTATGTGGAAAACGTGGAAGCTTTTGTCATGTGGCGACTCAGATGATGGGGTTCACGAACTCAGGCTTGCTGCAAATGTCAGTGTTAGGAAAATATCATGGACCCCACTAGAATTGGAGTCGAGATAAACCCAATTCGTTCAATCTTCCGTAATTTTCGATTAGGAATCAAGGTGACTGCGTTGTTTTAGCCGATAACACCAAAGTAATAGCGTGTTCTGCAAAACTGTGCCTGGCACGTATAAACTTGTGAAATTGAGCAATGCACGCTTAATTAAGCAGCTTAGCACACACACGCGCGGGCAAGAATAACTGCCAGTGCCTCGTAAAGGTGTAATCAAGTAGCGCATAGAAGTCAAATCATACCCACCGGGGATGTTAGAAGGGGTTTGCACTTCGCTTACGCCGGACAGAATTCGTTCTGCGAAGGCAATCTCCTGACCTGTTATCAATTGGGGAGGCGAGCTGTAGGCCATGGGTAACGGTTCTGAGACTAGACAGTGAGTTGCGTATTGATGTGGGCTCAGAGTGACAGCGAGCATGACCTCTTGACGACCCCCTGCATCGGAAACAATGCTAGGGCCTAAAACCACACTTGGTTGCCACGCAGGAAATGTATAAACTTCTGTGGTTGTAGCAGCACCAATACTAGGTTCTACAGCATGAGGCTCTCTAATTGTCTGTAACGATAATCATTATAAACAGTGAGTAACCAAGCGAGGATTATCAAGAAAACTATTAAGGAATTTAAATTACCTGATCCGTAGGTGCCCGAAATAGCCGAGCACTTTCATCCGTAGAGTCAGCCATGGTAGACTGTTATGACAGAACAGGATTTATTGGCCAATCACAAGCCCGAGTCAGGCATTGTTTACTGCTTCACATACGTGTCTGTCTCTGGTTGGCTGCATGGCTTTCTCGCATTGACTGAGGCCACCGTGGTCTAATGCCTGTGCGCTTATGCGTCGCAGCACTGCCTCCCCCTCAGGAGGGAAGCTGGCGTGTTGGTGATTGGCAATGTAGAACCCAGGTTGCCGTCTCTGTTGGCAAACCTTGACCTGAATTTCGGGTGTGATTCCAATAAAGCCACAGTGGAGGAATAATCCAGCTCGATCTTGAAGCACCCTCGCATGCAGACGGTGATCTAAACCACTCGTCATCTCGGAAGCTGATCCTGCGACTTCGATATAACGCCTGCGTTGACACCGCAGCTAAAACTCAAAGCGAAATCTCGCGTCTTGCTCATCCAACGCTACGACGAATGAATGAGCACGTCTGTTTTGATAAGCGCTTGACTGTTATCGAGCAGAAGTGACTTCTGTGGATGGTTCGGCTGCGAATCCCTTGTACGCCCTAGCAAATGACCCAACAAAATAACATAAGAGGACTTGACATCACGTAATTCCTTTTAATTCCGGCTAAAATCTGATGAAATCGTTTACTGCAACTTTCGAGGCGGGTAACGTTCACCTTGATACATAAATCGATTTTGTTCCGTGCTTCCTGGCCACTACCAACAGTCATTTACCCATCAGTCTACTTGAGAGAGCCCATGCGCTGCCTATCGTATGTAAAGCTTGTGTAGGGGTCTTCAGTTTGTGCTGCAACACATTTCTCGACTGTAGTCTATTCCACTGAAATGGCAACAACAGCAGCCGTAGATTCAGGAAATCGAGACAAGGATTCTGCATTCTCGTGCGTTTTTGCCTGGGCGATAACCAACGCTATAGTTCAGCTGACTCAATGCCTCCAAATGCCTAGTGATTATACGCGCTTATTCTTTAAAAAATAAAGCCCTGTATTAAGAGCCGCCTGGGTCCTGAGTGTCCCCAAGCCAATCATCGACTTCGCCATCCAGCCCGTAAATTGGGGAAACACAACACAGGAAACCACCTGTTCCCTCTACGACAGTAAGATGTTTTAAACAAATTCTTCGCGGCCTTCCGAGGACTGCTGCCACCGTCTGTAACGCGCCCGGGCATCACCAGAAGTCGTATTAAGCGTTACACGGATTTATTCGTGCAAAATACGGGCATGGAGATTCATTATGGACACAACGCACTTGAGTCCATCGTCTGCAAGGGTTTACTTACGCAGCCGCCGATCATGGTTGTGCCTCTCCGCCCATTGGCTTCTGCAGTTTAACTTCTCGAAACAGAGAGGGGAACTCGTGAGGCGATCGGATACTACTTTGTTTGCCACATCCAACGCGCCCACGTCGGGAGGCAACTCTACGTACGCCTTCTTTACATTCTTTGGGCCATTGAGTGTGCTCACCTCGGCAAGGGTTTACTTACTCAGCCGCCGATCCTAGCTGTTCGTCTCTGCCCAATGGACCTGAAGCTTAACTTCTCGAAACAGAGAGGCGAGCCCGTGAGACGATCGGATACTACGGCTCTCTCGCGCTATTCCAAATCACATCGCCGCATACAACCAGAAGTCACGCCACTGCTCGCGTCACGCCAGCGCCGTCGTGCGATATTGGCCGGGCCTCAAGATGGCGACCCTTCGTCACCGCGCTACACATTTCTTTTTCCCACATGACGCCGAAGAGCGGAACTGAGCGAAGGCTCCTGCAAAAACAGCGTGTCCGAAAAAGGTTGTGAAACCGCTACCACCTAGTTCTAAAAAGCACACAAACGGGGCTGGTAAGGCGAGTACAAGGATGTAGCATGGCGTCGAGGGTGGCAAAGTTGTGAAGAAATCGTCAAGTAATCCCGTGCTCAATAGCCATGTCTTCAACTAGCGAAAGTGATTGATAAAAGCATGTTGAGGGGGCAGAAGGCTATCATCAATGGGTGTCTTACTAAGGGCAAAAAGAAGGTCATGGAGAACACCCGAGCCTTCTCGTTCCACCAATGATAGCCGTTTCGATATCCCAAAGAGAAACAAGTACAATAGTTTATTGCCTGATGCACGTCTTCAGGTTGGAGGATAATGACACCTTGGTTTTCGTTGTTGGCAGGAAGGCAACAAACCGGCCATCAATGCGGCTGTTGAGAAAATCAATAAAATGAAGTTGCCCAAAATGAACACCTTAAACTGTCCGAAGAATGTGTAAAAGGCCCATGTAAAACTGCCTCCCGACATGGACGCGTTGGATGTGGCAAACAAAATTGGTATTATGTGAATAAAGAGAGATTTGTGCATTCTGTCGTTCATTGTTGTTCTCTCTCCGTTGGGTTCATTTAATATGACCAGCAACGGATGCCAATCCCGGAGACTGATGGGGTCAGGTTTGACGTGTAGAGACATTTAGGACCAGAAGTGGGGCTAATGATATTTGAGAATATGCGGAGCATGGACATTTTGTCGAACGTGGTTCATGATTAAGTATCGCATGCCGAGATTTGAATGAGGGAAGAAAGGCTGGAGTGTTGACATTTCCTTAAGGGCGTGGGCGCCACCTAATTTACATCTAGGGGTCGTCAGTTGCCAGCTCCAGGAAGATCTTCAAGTGTTGGGGTCGCCTCACCGAAGCCAGCGACCTACGTCGACAAAACCCTGACTAGGGGTTTTTAATGGCGTGGCAAGGCATCAGATCATACTGGTAAGTTTGCATCGCTCTCTGAATGAACATGGCGACATGAAGTCCACCCCAGGAGTTCCCAGTTCATGACATACCTTTTTTTTCAAAATCCCACAACGTCGATTTGAATCCAGCATTGGTGGTCTTCTCTTTTGAGCACTTTTTGCAGCAAAATGTAATAATGTTGGTGATTTGCCACTTTTGTGGTCCCCAGCGTGTTGTCTCTGGGTCAATTAAGAGGACGTGGACACAACCGGTGACCTTAGAGCTCAATCAAGTTGGTGGTGTTCTGTCATGTGTGGCGTGTACGAGTGTGCATTTTTCAGCTGAAATGTGTGAAACGGTGTTCTCTTTTTCGCTCAGCTGATAACAGGCTGAGAAAAAAGAGGGCAACTTTGTGTCGATGACTGGAGCGACCGGACTAACAAGTGTGAATTAATGCGTAACACAACAGTTCTCCCCTTGGCAAAAGGACTTGGTGAGCCTTTTCATCGAACATGGTTGCAGAGGTGCATGTGACATTGAATAACTCCGGACACAGCCGACATCTGGACAATGACCTTCGACTCGCATTGCCTCCCGCCGACTGCCAATCGACATGCGAAATTCTCTCCCTCTGCCACCTGGTCGCATCA